GCTCAAGAACGTGCAGCAGGTGCAATCTTCTGAAGCGGCGTTTGCTGCGATCCGGGCTGATGGATCTGTTGTGACCTGGGGCCATGATGACTATGGTGGCGACAGCAGTGCCGTACAAGATCAGCTCAAGAACGTGCAGCAGGTGCAAGCTTCTTCTTGTGCTTTTGCTGCGATCCGGGCTGATGGATCTGTGGTGACTTGGGGCCCTGCTGGCTATGGCAGTGACAGCAGTTCCGTACAAGATCAGCTCAAAAACGTACAGCACGTGCAAGCTTCGTGTTTTGCGTTTGCTGCGATCCGGGCTGACTTAGTTGTGGTGACTTGGGGTGATGGTGGCTATGGCGGCGACAGCAGTTCTGTACGAGATCAGCTCTACAACGGGCAGCAGGTGCAAGCTGGAGGTCTTTTTTTCAGGGTTTTTTCGTTTTTTTTTGGAATGTTGTTTGTTTTTTGTCCCTGTAAACCCTAAACCCTAAACCCTAGACCCTAGACCCTAAACCCTAAACCCTAACCCCTAGTCGAAACCCTAAACCCCTAAACCCCGAAACTTCTAAACCCCTAAACCCTAAACCCTAAACCCTAAAACCTAACCCTAAACCCTAAAACCTAACCCTAAACCCTAAACCCTAAACCCTAAAGCAAAAAACAAAAAACCCAAAAGCAAAAAACAAAAAACCCAAAAACACAACAAAAAAAGTCCTAATTTATTTCTCCGGCCGTGCAAGCTTCCTTCTCAGCTCTTGCTGCTGTGCTGGCTCTGGAGGTGACAGTAGTGCTCCCAACATCAGCTGAGGAGGATAGCAAAATTCCCGCCATCCTGAATGTAAGGATAGCAGCTTATGGTTACAGAATTGACTTAGGAGTGGTTCCCTAAACCCTAAACCCTAAACCCTAAACCCTAAACCCTAAACCCTAAACCCTAAACCCTAAACCCTAAACCCTAAACCCTAAACCCTGAACCCCAAAAACATCCCCTATTTGCCAAGTCAGCCTCTGGAAGCCTTGAAGGCCTCCCTGCAATCCGTACCTTGAGAGCAACAAACCCTTCTCATGGGTTTAGGGTTTAGGGTTTAGGGTTTAGGGTTTAGGGTTTAGGGTTTAGGGTTTAGGGTTTAGGGTTTAGGGTTTAGGGTGCTGATAGTCAGTGCAGCTCGAGCCTAGACCTATTTAAGGGCTTCCCTGTCCCTGTCCCTACCTTGAGGAGATTTGAGCTTCAAAGGTCTTAGGGCTTGCGCAGGTCCAAGGTCTAGGGAGAGACGCGGGAGGGAACAAAAGCTGTGCAAATTTTGTTGCTGGAAACTTGCAGTGCGGGTTTCTTGCGGATTTCTGCTTTGAAATTTTCGGACTGAAAGCCCTAAACCCTGAACCCCAAACCCCAAACCCTAAACCCTAAACCCTAAACCCTAAACCCTAAACCCTAAACCCTAAACCCTAAACCCTAAACCCCCTGAGCTCCGGACTGAAAGCCCTTGAAATTGACTCCTGCTGGCAGGAAGCTGCCACCTCTCCGAGGCATGGGGCGTCCTACAACCCTAAAACCCTCAAACCCTAAAACCCTCAAACCCCTAAACCCTAAACCGGGTTTGGGTTTTTGGGTTTAGGGTTTAGGGCTGAGGGCTGAGGGCTTAGGGCTTAGGGCTTAGGGCTTAGGGCTTAGGGCTTAGGGCTTAGGGCTTAGGGCTTAGGGCTTAGGGCTTAGGGTTAGCCCCAAACCCTACGCCTGCCATGCATGGGTCTGAGGGGATTCATGGCTTCCGGCTCTTGGGAATGCTACTTTGCCTTTGCAGGCATCGCGTTTTTTGTTTAAAGCTTAGGGTTTATTCAGTGTCTAGGGTTTAGGGTTTAGGGTGCTTGCGAGACTCCGTCCTTTTAGAGAAAACCCTAAGCCCTACACCCCAAATCCCTAAACCCTACACCCTCAACCCTAAACCATGCAAATTAACTTTGTCTCAGTTCCTTCTTAGGAACACAGCCAACCCTCAACCCTAGGAGAACCTGCTCGAGAGGCCTGTCCTGCATAGCCATCTTCAGCTGTATCTTCCTCATCGCGGTGGGCTTTGGCGTCTTCTGGACACGCTGAAGGGGCCCCACCCTAAACCCTTTCGGGTTTAGGGTTCGGGGTTTAGGGCCTGGGGCTTAGGGCTTGAGGTTTAAGGTTTAGGGTGCTGGGTTTAGGGTTTTGGGTTTAGGGTATAGGGTTGTTCCCCTAAAGGTTCCCCTTAATCTGCCCCTAGCACGGCCCTGATACGACCTTAAGGACCTTAAAACAGGGTCCCAAAACCCAAGAGTACAACCTTCAGGTCCAACCTTCAGGTCCAAGGTAAAGCCCCTAGAAAAGAAGGAGGCCCTATGTGGTTAAGGGCCGTGTATGGGGCTTGTGGGGTACAAGGTTTAGGGTTAGGGCGGTTCTTAGTGGAAGTTGCCTGTGTTGGCCCTAAACCCTACGTAACCCTAAACCCTAAACCCTAAACCCTAAACCCTAAACCCTAAACCACGTGCTGAGGAACAACAATGAAGAACACCCCAGATAAGCCTCACTCCTGAGGCTCCAGCTCTACATAGCCTCTTAAGCACCCCCAAGTAGGGGCGCCGGATTGAAGTTGCACACTCAGGGTTTAGGGTTTAGGGTTTAGGGTTTCGGGTTTAGGGTTTAGGGTTTAGGGTTTAGGGTACGAAAGCATCATGGTACACAAACTACTCTAAAGTCTACACTCGGTTTAGGGTCTAGGGCTACAGGGCAAGGGCGTAGAGTTTCCTGAAGGGTTTTTTATTCATAGCCAGGATCCCTGATTTTGCAGTTGTCCCCCCCCCCCTCCTGTTCTGAGCACCTCTCGAGATCCCAGTCTGCGAATTCAAGGGGGGTTTAGGGTCCTAAACCCTAAACCCTAAACCCTCAACCCTAAAACCCTAAACACTAAACCCTAAACCCTAAACCCTTTGGTTTGTATGGCTTAGGGTCGTTTAGGGTTCAGAGCCTTAGGGTTTGAGGCTTACAGGGTCGTTTCGGATAGAGGGCTTTGCGGTTTACGGTTTTGAGATTGAGGCTGAAGGGTCGGGAGATTGGGGATTATTTGAGAGCTTTGGGATTTGGGAGCTTGTGGTTTTGGGGCTTAGAAGCCCCAAAACCCCAAACCCTAAACCCTAAACCCTAAACCCTAAACCCTAAACCCTACGGGGCTCGGGTGCGCGGCCGCGGCCAGGAGAACGCTTCCCGGACAGTCGCTAAGTGCAGCTCCCGGGAGTGGGCATCCCCGCCAATCCCCAAAAACGGTCAGGGTTTAGGGTTTAGGGTTTAGGGTTTAGGGTTTAGGGTTTAGGGTTTAGGGTTTAGGGTTCAGGGTTCAGGGTTTAGGGTTTAGGGTTTAGGGTCGAAGTAGTGATGGGTAGAGGGAGGGCCCCCCCAGTTGCTTTCCTACCTGCAACTACATGTTCTATAGGGTTTAGGGTTTGGGGTTCAGGGTTTAGGGTTTAGGGTATATTTTAGGGACTCAATGCCTCAGTGGATTACAGTGAACAGTTGCACAGAGGGGTTTAGGGTTTAGGGTTTAGGGTTTCGGGTTTAGGGTTTAGGGTGATTGAGAAGCGCAAGGGTAGAAAAAGGGCTTAAGACTGAATTTGGCTAGAGGGGTGCACCATCGAGCAATCAAGATACAAGCTGAAGGTACATGACGGGGGAAACATGCATGCTTGCACAAAAAACTATAATATATATATATATATGTATACATACGCACACACGAACTACACTCACAGATGCTCATGCAGGCACATTTCTGTCCACGTTCTTGCAAGTCTCTTGTTTAGCTATGCACCCGAAACCCCAAACCCTAAATCCTATCCCTAAACCTTAACCCTTAACCCTAAACCCTAAACCCTAAACCCTAAACCCTAAACCCTAAACCCTAAACCTTAACCCTAAACCCTAAACCCTACATCCCAAACCCTAAACAGCATATCTTCCAAACTCTGCCCCAGCTCTGCCAGCGTCAGCTTAGGCGTTCGCTTCGCCAGAGAGAATGGAACCGGGTCGCGGCCTTGTGATTCTGGGCGGTTTAGGGTTTAGGGTTTAGGGTTTAGGGTTTAGGGTTTAGGGTTTAGGGTTTAGGGTTTAGGATCCTTAGGGTTCCCCACACCTCAACGGTTTTAGGGCTTCGGGCTTTAGGGGTTTGAGGGGTTTAGGTATGCCCGGAAATAATTGAAAGTCAGTCTGTCTGGCTCGAGCCGCGCTCCCACTGGGCCCTCTAAGCCGGCGACGGCGCAGAGTTAGAAATCGCAGCTGTGCGGGGGACATACGTTAGTTTCAAGTCATCTACTAGATGTCCTTGTTAGGATCTCTTCCGCCCTTTGATTGAAGAGCGGATGTTCGGCGCCCGTCGCCCAAAGCCATGGCTGAAGAGGACATCGATCAGGACGCCCTCTACTGGAATGCATACACATTGCTTCACTCCTCCTTCCTAAAGGCCCGGCGGGGGACGGTTTAGGAATCAGTTCTTTTTCCCCCGAGGCCGCTGGATGCTTTGGGGGCTATATGGTTTGTAATAAAGGCATTCTGCTATCCCATGGGCAAGGAGCTGAAATTCAATGTTTGTTGGTGCTTGAAGTCTGTTGGTCGGGTCTGCGTCTATCTCTGCCGTTCTGTCTCCCTCTCTCTCTCTCTCCCTCTCTCCCTGACAACCTCTCTCTCTCTCTCTCCCACTCTCCCTTTCCCCCTCCCCCCCCCCCCCCCCCCATCGTAGGGTGCAGGGCCTGGGCTAGAGGGCCGCTAAGGTACCTCTCGGTACAAAACCTTTAGGAAGACTTTTGAGTCCTGCATGCAGGCGAAGAAGAAGTTGCTGCTGCTCACCCTTGCACAGGACCAGCTCAATACCCGGCGAGTTGCTGCTATCTTGGTGGCTTACGGGGGGCTAAGCTTTTCGGACGGCATGAGCCAGAATCGGACTTCAGGACGAGGGTTTAGGGTCGGCGTGATGTTCCTATTGAAGAAGCTGCAGAGTCCAAACCTCTGCAAGAGCAAGGCAAACACAACACACCCGACGTTGGTGCGAGACTGAGTGACTAATAGTACCCCAATGGTACTTGTTCCTTTTTGTTCGCCCTAAACCCTAAACCCTAAACCCTAAACCCTAAACCCTAAACCAGGTGGCTAAGGGCCCTTTTTTGCTTTCCAGGGTAAGATTTACGGAGGGCTTAGGGGCCTTGTTACATCTTGTGATTCAAGATAACTTGAACTAGAGTTGAGGGCTACAAACACAGGCAGTCATGCCCCGCACCCTGCAAATCTAGGCAGACAAAAGCTTCGGCCTGTGTAGTTTTGTGTGCCCATCAGGGGTTTTAGGGTTTAGGGTTTAGGATTTAGGGTTTAGGGGTTTAGGGTTTGGGGTTTTGGGGTTTGGGGTTTGGGGTTTAGGGCTGAGCTTCTGGGATGACCTTGGGTTCGGCAGGTTCCTGCTCGGTCGATTTGGCGTCCTTATTATGTACGGGAATCCTACGATTTGGGGTTACCTTAGTATATACGGGAATCCTACTACTGGGGGGTTACCTCATGAAAAGGGAATCTTATGATTATAAGGGAATCCTACTATTGGGGGGGGGGGGGTTACCTTATTGTAAGGGAATTCCTACGATTTGGGGTCTATATGTGGGGTCCCTTAGTATCGCACACTCCCAGTGTGACATCGGCTCGCATTCTGTACCCTAAATCCTAAACCCTAAACCCTAAACCCGCTCTGAACCTGACAGTCCTCGAAGCCTCCAATCCTGAACCCACAGATTTCAGGCCCCCGGGCACTATCTGGGGGTTTGCGAAAATAAGGGACCCCTAATATGGACCCCAAATAGTAGTGTTTGTTCCCTTATAAAAAGGACCCCCATAAGGTACCCGTAATTTCAAACGTCGACCAGCAAAGCAAGCCTGACTCAGTGCCGGACTAGTAGACAGAGACGCCAAGATGCACTTGAGCAAGGAAGATTCCATCAGTTCACCGATCTGCATATCAGAGAAGGACTCCTCAACCCCAAGACTTTCAAAGAACCCTAAACCCTAAACCCTAAACCCCAAACCCTAAACCCTAAATGGATGAAGGCTTCGGCCCCCTGATGGAAAGCTATAGGGTTTCAGGATTCGGCTGAGAAGCCTTGACCGCTAGGGTGCCAGCCCGAAAGCCTACAAACGTTAGACTCTGAAAGTGTTAAACTCATAGCCCCAAAACCCAAAAGTTTCAAAAGTACAGCAAACCTAAAACCCTAAAGCCCGGAACCCCAAAACCCAATATTCTAAACTCCTCAAGCCCTAAACCCAAGATTCTAAAACCCTAAAGCCCTATTCCCAAGATTCTACAACCCTAAAGCCCTAAACCCAAGATTCTAAGATCCTAAAGCCCTATTCCCAAGATTCTAAGATCCTAAAGCCCTAAACCGAAGATTCTGGGAGCCCGAACCCGCATGAGACTCCGAGCGCAGGAGGCCGTTTGCCCCAAAGACGCTGCAGCCAAGCTCCACTGGGTTTAGGGTTTAGGGTTTAGGGTTTATAAGGGTTTAGGGTTTAGGGTTTAGGGTTTAGGACTGGTAGGGCTTAGGTTAGCATTGGGTCAAGGACAGACATGTCCGAGAGCAAGTTTTTTTTAAGACAGCAACAGCATGCAGGGCCGGGTTGACAGGGGAGAAAAGAGAGCGAGCTGGGCCCATAGGCGGGTTCAGGGTTTAGGTTCGGGGTCTCGGAGTGTTTTTGAGAGTATGGCCCGTGACCGCGGAAAATTACCCTAAACCCTAAACCCTAAACCCTAAACCCTAAACCCTAAACCCTAAAAAATCTCTGGGTATTCGGATGTCCGGGTTGAATTTCGGGCACCCTCAACTTTACTTAGTAGCTGAATGAGTACACTTTTTGGGATTAGGACTGAAGGTGTACACTTTTGGGAGCTCATGAACCCAGCAACCAAGCCAAATAGTGGTATTCCCTTATAAAAAAGGACCCCAATACGGTACCCCTAATCCTCCCTTATAATAAGGACCGCAACAAGGTACCCAGGACCCCAATAAGGTACCCCTAGTTTCCCCTTAGAATAAGGACCCCAATAAGGTCTTATGCACTCAGCAGCAAAGTTTATGAACCCAAGGGCTCCGAAGACTTGCCTTGCTCCAAGCACCTTTTAAACCGCTCCCTCAAACCCAAGCAGTGAGCTACACACAGCTCAGAAATCTGGGTTAAGGTTTAGGGTTTAGGGCTTAGGGTTTAGGGTTTAGGGTTTAGGGTTTAGGGTTAAGGGCCCCAAAACCCACAACCTCTGAGCCAAGATAAGCAGCTGAATCAACCTCATCTCTTACACCCCTGCCTGCCGCACTTGAAGGTTCATGGTACTTAATAACAAGTTATAGCTGAGGTTTGGGGTTTAGGGTTTAGGGTTTAGGGTTTAGGGTTTAGGGTTTAGGGTTTAGGGTTTAGGGGTACTTAATAACCAAATTGGCCCACTTGTAAGCCCCCCAAGTGCCGCAGTATGGTTATAATAGGCACTTTTATACCTACACTTAGAGTTGGTTACTAAGTACCCTGAACCTCCAAGTACTCCGCGTGAGCTTGCCACCCCGCGTAGCTGTCTCGAGGCTCACCTCGCTTCATTTGTTCACTCCCCTCCTTCCTGTCTTGGAGGAAACCCATGAACCCTACATAAGTACCCCAAACTCTGTAAACCCTATAAAGCCACGAAACCCTATAAACCCTATAAACCCTCTAAACCCTGTAAAGCTTCTAAATCCTATAAACCCCATAAACCTTCTAAACCCTCTGAACCCTCCAAACCCCCTAAACCTTAAAAACCCTAAAAACCCTAAGCCCTACCAAGCACATAGCCTCTGCAGTCGCTGAGCTCCGTGTCCCTGCCGAGGCAGCGGGCGCTCCGTGGCCTTGGAGCCCCTTTCAGGAGGATGTCGGTTTAGGGTTTAGGGTTTAGGGTTTAGGGTTTAGGGTTTGGGGTTTGGGGTTCAGGGTTTAGGTTTTAGGGTTTAGGGTTTAGGGTTTAGGGTTTAGGGTTTAGTGTGGAAGTCAGGGGCATGCAGCCTCTACTTTTTGCTTAAGCTCACCCAAAAAGGAAAAAAGCTTGAGGCAAAGCCAGTTCCCAGCGCGTGAACATCTCATTCTCCATGGATTAAACCCACTTCAGGGCGGCACGGCCAAGACCATCGTAGTAACATAAACGAAGACGCTGAGAGAACGTGCTGGCTATAGTCCAATTTAGGGCCCTCCTTAGAACTCTACTGAAAACTAGGGGGTGCCCCTCCTTGTATCCCCCTAAGCCCCAAACCCCAAACCCCAAACCCTATACCCCAAACCCTAAACCCCAAACCCTAAACCCCAGACCCTAAACCCCAGACCCTAAACCCTAGACCCTAAACCCTAAACCCCTAAGAGGACATACCTCACCCGGTGTACGTGGCGCATGGCGGTCTCTGCTCTGACTCGAGTGGCCTTGGCGCCCTCATTGAGGAAGGCTTGGGAGAGGCCTGGGAACCCTAGGTCAGCGGAGGTTTCTTGGGAAAGTTTAGGGTTTAGGGCCCTTCTTGGGGTTTAGGGTTTAGGGTTTAGGGGTTTAGGGGTTTAGGGTTTAGGGTTTAGGGTTTAGGGTCTTAGGGCCCTAAATCCGAAACGCAAAGGTTCCAGCCCTAAAAACCCTTGAAGCGTGTTGGTACCTTGTGCTGAAAAACCCTGAAACCTTTAGCCACAATTCCGAAACCTGAACCAAAAACCCTACAAGCTCCTGAATCCTAGACTGTCAGGCCTGGACCCCTAAAATCCCTGCTTCCGAGCACCTTTCAGCAAGTGCCACCCTAAACCCTGAACCCTAAACCCCAAACCCCAAACCTCAAACCCTAAACCCTAAACCCTAAACCCTAAACCCCAAACCCTAAACCCTAAACCCTGAACCCCAAACCTGAAAACCCTGAACCCTAAACCCTAACCCAGCCCCTGAGGTTGGTTGGGAGGATGTGCACCTTGGGGCCATTAGATCGTAGGCTTTGATGCGGAAGGGTTCAGGGTTTAGGGTTTAAAGTTTAGGGTTTAGGGTTTAGGGTTTAGGGTTTAGGGTTTAGGGTTTAGGGTTTAGGGTTTAGGGTTTAGAGGGCTTTGGGTTTAGAGGGTTTAGGGTTTAGGGAAGTCATACGCCGAAGCCCACGCAACTGGAGGCTCGCGATCGTCCGCAGCCATCCGACATCCAAGTTGCACCAGTTGCTGGAGGACACCTTAGAAGCTGGACCCTAAACCCTAAACCCTAAACCCTAAACCCTAAACCCTAAACCCTAAACACCTTAGAAGCTGGACCTGTTGAGCTGGTGATTGTAGTTGAATGTTTCGAGCAGACCTCTGGCTCCCTGTTATCTTTCATGTGGTTGAGGGTTTCGGAGCTTCTGGCCCGTAAACCCTAAACCCTAAACCCTAAACCCTAAACCCTAAACCCTAAACCCTAAACCCTAAACCCTAAACCCTAAACCCAAAAAATGCCCCGAGCCCAAGCAACTCTAAGGACTGGTCTTGGCAGATTGACAAGTTCTGGCGGTGCTGGCGCGAGTTGGGCGTCCCTGACGCCGCACCCGGGCTGATGGTCTGTGCTTCGTTTAGGGTTTCAGGATTAGGGCGTATGGGGTTTAGGGTTTAGGGTTTAGGGTTTAGGGTTTAGAGTTTAGAGTTTAGGGTTCAGGGTTTCAGGTTTCAGAAAGGAATGTTTATTGCTTAGGGCCCCGAAGTTCTAATCCCCCAGCCAAAAAGTCCGGAGCCCCGAACCCTGCACCCCACGGCCTAAAACCCGAAACAGCTAACCTTGAAGGAACCTCGAGGGTCCGGGATTTAGGGTTTAGAGTCAGGGTTTAGGGTTTAGGGTTTAGGGTTTAGGGTTTAGGGTTTAGGGTTTAGGGTTTAGGGTTCAGTGTGTAGGGTTCAGGGTTTAGGGTTTAGGGTTTAGGGTTTAGCGTTTAGGGTTTAGGGTTTAGGGTTTAGGGTTTAGGGTTTAGGGTTTAGGGTTTAGGGTAAACGTTTATAAGCGTTAAGGGTCTAGACCCCCTGATTTTCGTCGCGGGGACCCAGGAAACGCTGGAAGGCGAGATCGCCCACGCAGCTCGCGACTTCGAGCTGCTTTTGCGCCTAGGTTGCCGCAGTTCTGGTGCTAGCCCTAAACCCTAAACCCTAAACCCTAAACCCTAAACCCTAAACCCTAAACCCTAAACCCTAAACAAGCAGCATCCTCAGGAATAACCGGCCGCGCCTGCTGTACTCGGAGTTCCTGGGCTCCAAGCTCCGCCCGGTGGAGGTGAAGCGCCTCGTTGGAGGTTCAGGGATTAGGGATGGGATAGGGTTTAGGGTTTAGGGATAAAGGGATGTCGGGTTTAGGGGTTTATAGGTCTTAGGGATTAGGAGATCAAGGGATAGAGGGGAGACAGGGATGTAGGGCTTGATTTATATTTAAAAACATGTTTTGGGGGTTCAGGGTTTATGATAGGGTGGAGCTGTTTGTGTGTAGGGGTTGGGGGTTCAGGGGTTGAGAGTTGAGGGTATTGCTTGTGTTTTGGTTTGTTTGCTGCTTTCTTATTCATGGGGGTTCATGGGGGTGGAGGTCTTTCAAGTTGCTGTTGCGTTCCTGGGGTGTGGGGGGGGGGGAGACTCTTTGACATGCCCAGCATTGAGCCCTCAACCCTCAAGTACAGACCCTACATCTTAAATCGCACAGGATTCTTCCAAGGCCTTGAGGGAATCTTGCTTCTTCAGTGATGGTTCTTGAAGCATCAGCTGTTGGTACTTCCCAACATAGGGGTCCCCTCATATAGCCCCAGATAGTGGAACTCTTCCCCCCCCCCCCCCCCCGCACCCGTAAACCACAGACTGCTCACAAACCCGAAACCCTAAACCCTAAACCCGAATTCCAGCACGTGTCTAGAGGGTTTGAACATGTTTCGGGTTCAGGGCGTCTAAAGGGTTTTTGGATGGAACCACTAAGTAGGCCCCTGAATTGAACCCTAAACCCTAAACCCTGAACCCGAAACCCTAAGCTAAGAAGATCATGTCTGGGAATATGTTTTAGAGGGCTTCAGGCCCAACCTAGCCCAGCCACCAAGGTATTTTCGAGCAGATCTCACAGATCTGCCCTTTCTGGCGGGTGATGAGAGCTTCTTCTTGCTCTCGAAGTTTGCAGAGAAGCCGGTGATTGATCTTTGGCCTTCCCTAAAACCTAAACCGCGCACCTTAAAGTCTAACCCCTACACCCCAACACCCACCCCAAAACCCAGACCCTCATCAACACTGCCCGAGAATAGGGAGCGGACTGGCGCAGCAAGACCCCCGCACTTCGCAAATGCACAACTTTGCAATGAAATGTGCAAAAAAGCGGATTTTGCTTTACAATAGTCCATCTAACCTGGAGAAGAAACTAGGACCCAGAGTAGGCCCTTATGCACTTTGTAAGGGTTTAGGTCCTTCCAAGCCCCTTTAAACCAAAAACAATGCATTCTTTTCGTTCCTAGGCTACACCTGGGTCTAGAAGAATTAAGATCCCCAAACGCATTGTTTTGCACAAAAGCACAATACTCTAAACCCTAAAGCCTAAACCCTAAACCCTAAACACAACAGCATACAACAGCCCTAAGCCATGAGCCCCCCAAGTGCTGGCGAATAGCATGGCACGACCAGTAGTATGCACCCTTTCTGAGGGTTTAGGGTTAAGGTTTCAGGGACCTAAACCCTAAACCCTAAACCCTAAACCCTAAACCCTAAACCCTAAACCTCCTTCTTCAACAAAGTCTGCGGATCAGCTGAGGAACTCCTCCGCGAGTCTATGCAGGTCCCACCGCCCAGGACTGCCATCAGCGCGCTGGTTGCCAAGCATCTGGGTGGATTTAGGGTTTAGGGTTTAGGGTTTTAAGGTTTAGGGTTTAGGGTTTAGGGTTCTGGGTGGATTTACTTACTGTTGGTTGGGGAATGAGGGAGTTAAGGCCCTATATATATATATATATATACACTTCAAGGGATTTTGTAGAGTACGTCATTCCCTCATTCCCTACCAACAGCAAGTTTTGGGTTTTCGGGGTTTGGGGGTTTAGGGCTTTAGGGTTTGTAGGGATTTAGGGGTTCAAGGTTTTAGGGGTTTAGGGTTTTAGTGGTTTAGGGGTTCAGTGTTTCAGGGTTTTAGGGTTTTAGGGCTTAAGGGTTTTAGGGTAGTAGGGGTGTAGGGTTTTAGGATTCTAGGGGTTTCGGGTTTCAGGGGTTTTAGGGTTCTGGGGCTTTTACGGCTTTAGGGTAAAGGTTTTAGGGGGCCCAGGTAACTACTCCTAAACCCTAAACCCTAACGTGGGAATTTCAGGGACCATGGAACTACGTACCCTAAGAGATCCGTTTCGGGTTCATGGGGTCTAGGGTTGAGGGTTTAGGCCTCAGGGTTGGCCAACCCGGTACCCCTTTGAAGGGGATGTGAACAGGTCTCATGCTTGACATGCGGGGGGTTGGCGGGGGGAAGGGGGGAAGTGCCTGAGGCCACCCGACCAGCCGGGGAACTCTTTAGGGTTTAGGGTTTAGGGTTTAGGGTTTAGGGTTTAAGGCTTGCAGGAGCCAGCTCGCACCTCTAGAAGCCAACTCAAGCATGTTTTTTCTATAGCCAAGGTGAGGGGGGTGACGGGCAAGTTTTCTCATAAACTCCTCAAACCCTAAACCCTAAACCCTAGCCTAAACCCTAAACCCGAAACCCTAGACCCTAAACCATCCTTACAATATTCGCACCACTTCTATTCTCGCCCCCAGCGCTAAGCTTGGGGGGGGGAGGGAGGAGGAAACCCCTAGACTCAGCTCGCCAAAGCCCTCAAGCTTAAACAGCCCCAAGCCCGAAACTAGGCGAACAGCGAAGCCCTTACTAAGCCCCCGAAAGCCCAAAGGTAATCTCTACACTCTAAATTAACTATACCTAAATTTGTACTCCAAGCCTTAAAGCTCTTCGCCCAAACAAATCCTTGCATCAGGGCTAGGAATCCTTTGGCTCAGGGCTTTTGGGGGTTTAGGATCTAGGGTCTCTTCCTTACAAGGTCCTTGAAACCAACAAGGGCACCCATTTATTCCTAGCTTACTCTTGGGTCACCCTAAACCCTAAACCCTAGACCATAGACCCTAGACCCTAAACCCTAAACCCTAAACCCTAAACCCTAAACCCTAAGCCAGGTAGAAACCTGACCCAAAGCTGAGGTACCAGGGCCTGGCGGAGCACATCGCCGTTGTCGTGGGGACGGAACGCGAAGACGAGTACATCCAGACCCTGAACATGGCAGAGGACCTCGTGCGCCGGGAGGGGCTGTAGGGTTTAGGTTTTAATTATAGGGTTTATAGGGTTTGTAGGGTTTCTAGGGCTTACAGGGTTTATAGAATTTATAGGGTTCAACGTTTACAGCACTTTCGGTCATTGATTTCGCAGCATGGAACAGGACAGAGACAGAGAGGGCGAATTTGGCTCTGGAACCAGCTTCGGACGTGCAAGTCAACTTACAACCACGGGGGCACTTGCCTCTTTACCCTATACCCAAAACTCTAAACCCTAAACCCTAAACCCTAAACCCAAAACCCAAAACCCTAAACTCTAAACCCTAAACCCGTAGGTATCATGCACCACCAAGAAGGAGCTCCAACTCGGGGCTCCAAGGTAAGGAAGGCATCACATGGGCTCCCAGTTCACCAAGGGTTCACCTACCTTGGGGTTTTGTAGCCGATAGAACATGTCTACTTCGGTTTAGGGTTTTAGGGATTAGGGATTGGGGTTCAGAGCTTAGGGTTTCGGGTTCAGGGTTCAGGGTATAGGGTTTAGGGCTTATGGGTTTAGGGTTTAGGGTTTAGGGCTTAGGGCTACATGTAAGAGGCCCAGGGCCCAGGGTGTCAGGACGCATCGAGCCACCCAGTGCGCCTCTTCACCGACCTTCCCAACGACGACGTCCCCTTCGGACTCGCAGTAGTCGACGTCTGCCGGTCTGAGCACGACCCGGTGCACCCCAGCTACAGGAGTCGGTTAGGGTTTAGGGTTTAGGGTTTAAGGTTTAGGGTTTAGGGTTTAGGGTTGAGGGTTTAGGGTTTAGGAGGCGTTAGAGATAGTGCTTTTATCATTCATGGATACTTGGGGTTTATGGGTTAAGGCTCTGATCGGCTAGTGCCCCATGGGTTTAGGCTTCGTGGTTTCACGTTTAGGTTTCGGGAGCAAACCGAAGCCATCCTGATGTCCATCATTCAGGTACCCACAGGCTCTTTACTAGATTGTTTGAGGGGCGCAGGCAAGCCCCAAACACACAAGTATTTAACTTCCAACATCCCCACCCTGCAAGCAAGGAATTTTGAGCTCATTTTGGGGTTGGGCACTCCAGGGACACACTGGCGATTCTCTGGGGATAGTCTGGGTTGGGCACTCTAGGGATTCTGTTGGGATACTTTGGGGTTGAGTATTCGAGGGACTTATGCTCTGGCGTTGGGCACTCCACGGGATATTCTGGCATTTGGGGCACTCCAGGGATTTGGTCAGGAGACTCTGGGCACTACTCTGGGGTTAGGCACTCTCTGTGGATACTCTGGGGCGAGGAGTAGAGTGATGGGCGAGGAGTAGACTGGGCGAAGAGAAGAGTTTAGTTGAAAGCCCAGCAGGCCCTGGGAAGAAGGCAAGAACACCTAGGGTTGGGATGTTCCCCCTATATTAATCCAACAGTCCTTACTAGGATTATAGTCTCCCCCAAGTAGAATCCTCACATTTTACCTCTTTTAAGTGCCGTAAAATGGTTCTAAGTACAATCTCATAAGTACAGTTATGATTGGTTAATCAGTACCATGAACCTCCAAGTGGGGGTTCACTCGAGAAACCCTGAACCCTAAACCCTACAAACCCTATAAACCCAATAAACCCTATAAACCCTATAAACCCTATAAACCCTATAAACCCTATAAACCCTATAAACCCTATAAACCCTATGAACCCTAAACCCTAGCCCTAAATCCTAAACCCTAAACCCTAAACCCTAAACCCTAAACCCTAAACCGAGGAACATCGCCGGGCTGTACCAGAGCCTGCAATGCTTGGCGCAGGCCTTGCGGCTCGATGGGAGATTCAACGCTTCGGTCGGGAATCCTCAATCCTACCCTCGTTTTCCGCTTAGGGTTTAGGGTTTAAAGGTTAGGGTTTAGGGTTTAGGGTTTAGGGTTTAGGGTTTAGGGTTTAGGTGGGCCCTATTTCCTCACCGCGGAAGAGATGGCGCCTTTTTTTGTGGGGGGTGTTTCTGTTTCCGAGAGCTGCTGAGGCCTGCTTTGAGACGCTGTGTGTCCCTAACCCTAAACCCTAAATACCCTTTTAAGGGGGGTTGGGGTAACCAGCCCTAGACCCTAATCCCTAAACCCTAAACCCTAAACCCTAAACCCAGCTACCCTTAGTCTCTTGCAAGCTGCAGTGTCTCTGTTGAGCAGCTCCTAGTTGATCGTTTCGGAGTTGAAGATCTGGTTTGACGCTTGAGCTCCCCAAGCCGATAAACTCCCAACCCATATCCCCAAGCATTACAACCCTAAACCCTAAACCCTAAACCCTAAACCCTAAACCTGACTCATGGGCTCTCATGGGCAGTATCCATGGAGGCTCTTGGGGTTGTGGAGGGAGCTGAGGAGCTGGCAATTCCCAGCGCCAGCGTGCCTTTTACAGGGTCATGAAGGAAGCCCCTGTCTTGCGTGGCCTGAAGAGGGTTTAGGGCTTCCGGTTTAGGGTTTAGGGCTTCGGGTTTAGGGTTCAGGTTAGGGGTTTAGGGTTTAGAAAGTAGTTTCTGGTTCAGAGGTTGACGTCAACGGGGGATATCTCGCTAGTTCCCTTCCCCCCAAACCCCCAGACTCCATCTCCAGAAGCCCTAAATCTTAAACCTTGGGATGCACTAACAGTCCTTAGTAGGGATTATAATGGGGGGGGGGGGTGCGTTCTGTAATCCCTACTAAGGACTGTCACTGTTAGCATAAGGGGGAACATCCCAACCTCAACCCATCAAAGTTCCCATGAGAGGCCCTTGTGCAGAAGGGCACGACGCATATCTTCACTGTGTCTCGGTACTTCCATGGCCTAGAGCAAGGGTTGAGGGTTAAGGGTTCAGGGTTTAGGGTTTAGGGTTTAGTGAATTGACTCGGGTGCTTCAGAGGCTCAGGGCCAGGCTCAAGGCGCTAAACCCTAAACCTTTAAACCCCAAACCCTAAACCTTTAAACCCTAAACCCTAAACCCTGAACCTTTGAACTTAACCCTAAACCCTTGCTTAGGGTTCCCAGGGCTTCAGGAGCCCAAACTTTAGATTGTCTAGATCCCGCAAACATAATGAGGACCCGTACATAATGAGCTTGAAATAGGAGGCCTTGGGGCCTTCGGGTTCATCAAAAGCAAGCACGATTTCATCAAGCCCGAATGCGGTGCAACCTTAAAGCTGCGAGACCCTAAACCCTACTAAAGCCAATAACCCCACAGCCCCAAGAACCTAAACCCCCTTAAACCCTCTAAACCCTAAACCTCCTAAACCCCCTAAACCCAAAACCTCCTAACTAACCCACTAAACCCCAAACCCCAAACCCGAAACCCTAAACCCTAAACCCTAAACCCTAAAACGTAAACCTGAACTCCCAGGTTCTCACTGGTCTGGGCCCTCAGAGCGCTTTTGCAGCTGTGTCTGTGGAGACGGTGCTCACGGAGCTGAGAGAGTTGATCCGGCGCCCTGGTTTAGGGTTTAGGGTTTAGGGTATAGGGTTTAGGGTTTAGGGTTCAGGGTTCAGGGTTCAGGCTTCAGGGTTTAGGGGGTTCAGGTTTCAGGTTTAGGTTGTAGAGCTGAGGTTTTGGGGGTTCAGGGTGAGTTAACCCTGAACCCAATTATGTTTAGGGTTTTGTAGATGCAGAGTGCAGAATGTAGAGATCAGGGTTTATCGGTTTAGGCTTCAGGGTGTGTGGTTTGTCCGGTCAGGGCACTGGGCCTGGGGTGACGTTTGATGCGGAAGAAAACCCTAAGCCCTAAACCTTAGTGTTTACGGTTTAGGTTGTAGGTTTTAGGGTTTAGGGTTTAGGTTTAGTTTAGGGTTTAGTGTTTAGGGTTTATAGGGTTTAGGGTTCAGGGTTCAGGGTTTAAAGTTTAGGGTTTATGGCTAATCTTGTCGAACTTGGTGTCCCAGCCATTTGAGACCTTCCACCTTCACATGCGTGAAGGTTACACAAGATTGAGACATGCGACATAGGCGTAGGGCGAGGTAGGCTCCCCCAGATATAGCAAAAAGCCATTTCCCGCATGGAAAGGACCCCCCCCCCCCCCCCCCCCCCCCCCCCCGCGCCGCCTTTTTTGGACATCAGGGTGGATGTTTGCAAACGTGTTCCCTGCCAGAGGCGAGGCTGGCAATACGGCACTATAGCCCCCTGAAATCCTTGAGGGTTTAGGGTTTAGGGTTTACAGTACCAAACCTGCAGCAGAATTGCGAAGCCCCAATGCCTAAAATAAACCCCCAACCCTCATCCCCCGTAAAACCCTCTCTTATGCCTAAAATAAACCCCCAACCCTCATCCCCCGTAAAACCCTCTCTGCACCCAACACCTCCTTCGAAGCCCTGAGCCCTAAGCCCTAAACCCTTATAAACCCTAAACCCTAAACCCTAAACCCTAAACCCTAAACCCTAAACCCTAAACCCTAAACCCTAAACCCTAAACCCTAAACCCTAAACCCTAAACCCCAAGCCCTGAACCCTAACCCCAAAACCCTAAACCTGAAACACCTTTAAAATCATCTTCCTAAGACGCCTCGCCGCCACCTGCCGGAGCCTACAGCGAGTCACCGTGGCGACCATCAACCCTAGTGCGATGGCTGGTTTAGGGTTTAGGGTTTAGGGTTTAGGGTTTAGGGTTTAGGGTTTAGGGTTCAGGGTTTAGGGTTTAGGGTTTAGGGTTTAGGGTTTCGGGTTTAGGGTTTAGGGTTTAGGGTCTAGGGTTTGGGGCCCTGGCTTTACAAGGTATAGGTGACTAGGGGACTTGAGGACTGGGGGACAAGCATATAGCAACCCTGCATTTCAGCTTCTTCTAGCCAGTCTCCGCCCTAAACCCTAAACCCTAAACCCGAAACCCTAAACCCTAAACCCTAAACAATAACCCTCGACCTGCAAGAATGGAGAGAACAACTCGATCCTCAATCTCCAACCAGAGCAACCCAGGGTTTAGGGTCTAGATTTTAGGGCCTCAAAAGCCAAGTTAGGTACTGCCACGGCTGAGGTACTGCCACGGCTGTTCGTGAGTTTCTCTCTGGTGGGAGGAAGCACTCTGTGAGTTTCTTTCTGGAAAGTTAGGGTTCAGGGTTGAAGGTTCAGGGCTTAGGGTGTTGGGGTTTAGGGTTTAGGGTTCAGGGCTTCCGGCTTGAAAGTTTCCACTGGCCTTCATCATACATGCAGTGTAGGGGTTCAGGGTTTAAGATTTACCGGCTGCCAGGCGAGGCAGTTCTCTTCGGGCTTACCTGAAAGGAACACTGAAGGGCGTTGAAGGGTTTGTCTTTGTTTATAAGGGGCTGTGAGAAGGTTTTTAAAGGTGCTTGGGGATAAGTACCCTAAACCCTAGACTCTAAACCCTAAACCCCAAACCGTGGGGGCAAGGGCCTCGCAGGTTAAGAGTCCAACGCAAGTCCGCAGCCTCTGTTTTGCATGCACAGGGGTCCCTTTTTCCGCTCTTGGGTTTCGGGTTCTAGGGTTTAGGGCCCTTAAGCCCCTCAACCCTATACCCTAAACCCTAAACCCTAAACTCACCAGCCAAATCTCGGGTTCTAATGTTAAGGGCCCTTAAGCCCCTCAACCCTATACCCTAAACCCCAAACCCTAAACTCACCAGCCAAATCTCAACCCCCACACACCACCCCTAGATTCTAAAAAGGGTTGTCGAGGAGTTATGCATAGCCTGGATTTGCCAGCTAGATGTTTGTGAACTTGCGATTGCTTAAAATGATTTGGGGTTTTAATAAACTCTCTTGCGCGTGAGGAAACACGAGCAGATACGGCTTTTAATGAAATTGTTGTCCGGTGTTATTAAAATTTCGCTTGTGTTTGAAAGCCTCAGCCGTTCAAATTTTCGGCTGCCTCAGGGTGAAAAGTAGATTTTTTTCCAAACCCTCTTTAAAGTGCTTTGCCGGGGGTTGGGGTTCCAAATTCAGGGGCAATAAGCTCTAAACCCTAAATCCTAAACCCTAAACCCTAAACCCTAGGGGACCCTTTTGCTTTGTTTTCTTTCGTTTCGAAACGGATGGCATCTTGGTAGCTAGGGACCTACGCAGCTCTTAAAGAAAGCAGGGTACCTTTTTTTCATCCCAGGGCTCCTGGGAAACTAGGTTTTGGAGTACTGTACTTCAATACTTTCTTTGGTTCTGGCTCCTTCTATAGCTACTTATACCTAAAAAGTATATACTTTTTTCCAGGGTCTACGGCAAAGTAGGGGAACACTAGGAAGCTAGAACCGAAGCTTGTGTTGACATTGGGTTTGGCTGTAGCTTTCGGCGTGCCCTAAAGCCTAAGCCCCTGAACGCGAAAGCCCCAAGCCCTAAACCCTAAACCCCGAGACAAAGGTGGCAGTGAAGGTTGAGATTGTTCCCTAAACCCTAAACCCTAAACCCTTGATACGCAGGACGGTGCCAGAGGACACGATTGACAGACTGAAAGGCGCAATGGCCACCCATGAGGAGCATTTCGGCTTCAAGGGTTTACATGGGTTAAGGGGTTGAGGGTTTAGGGTTAGGGTTTAGGGTTCAGGGTTCAGGGTTTAGGGTTTAGGGTTGAGGGGCTTAAGGGCTGAGAGTTGAAGGGTTTAGGCTTGGTTTAGGGTTTGGGTCTTAGGGGTTTTAGGGGGCTTAGGGGTCAAGGGTTTAGGGTTTCAGAGGTTTAGGGCTTCGGGCTACTGGGTAAAGGTTTTCGGGGTGGTAGGCCTTCTGGCATGAGCTTAATCCTTACAGAGCTTAGGACTTAGGGGCATCAGGGGTCTCTTGTCGTGTAGGATACGAGGTTTAGGGTTTATACATGGGTTTTGGGGTTTGGAATTTAGGGTTTCTGGTTGTAAGGTCTAGGGCTTAGGCGTGTATGCGGCTTTGGGGTGTGAGGGGTAGGGGTCAGGTATGGTCAGGTACTCCATGTGGGAAATCCGTTTGCCGCGACTTGCCATACACCTACCCGACCTAAATCCTAAACCCTAAACCCAAAAAGGGAGCCTCATGTAGAACTACCCACAACCCTACAGCCCTAAAGTCCTAAATCCCTAAATCCCCAAATCCCCCAAACCCTAAGCCCTAAACCCTACATCCTCAAAACCCTACAGCACTAAACCCTAAAGCCCAAAGTCCCGAAGCACCCTTGGCCACCCTTCCAAAGTCCCGAAGCACCCTTGGCCCGAGGTGGCTGCGCCGTCACGAGTTGATGGACGCCGCCCGAAGCCTGGTTGCGCAGGCGCAGCAGAGTGGCCAGAGGAAGGACTTCGCCACCCCAACCCTGGGTTTAGGGTTTAGGGTTAAGGGTTTAGGGTTTAGGGTTTAGGGTTAGCGTTTAGGGTTTAGGGTTTAGGGTTTAGGGTTTTGGTTTCGGGGTTTAGGGTTCAACAACCCAAAGCACCCTAAAGCCTAAACCCTAGACGTTCTAAACACTAAACACACTAAACCCTGAGCTCTTCAAGCCCCAAGAATCTCCCCGTGTCTGCTGAACCCAGGGGTTTGTGGTTCATGGTTTATGTGGCTTAGGGGTTTGTAGGTTTCTATAGGGGTTGTGCAAGGTAGAGGGAGGGTTTATGTAGGGTTTGTTGGGCTTAGTGGGGTTTACAGTGTTTTGGGGTTTGTAGAGTTTAGGGTTCAGGGCAAGCAAAAAAAGCGGCTGTTACCTCTTGCCTAGATCGCCCCTACCCCAGTTGAACTCGTGCCCCCCCCCCCCCCCCCCCAACAGATTGACCGTAGAGCCCATTTATCGCGATGGCATTCTCTGACGTCCCGGAAGCCCTAGTTGCAAACAGAAGTGGCTGAAGCTCTGGGCGATAAGTTCTATACCCCCCCCCCCCCCTAAACCCTAAACCCTAAACCCTAAACCCTAAACCCTAAACCCTAAACCCTAAACCCTAAACCCTAAACCCTAAACCCTAAACCCTAAACCCTTCACACACCTAAGCCCTAAGTCCTGCTGAGCAGCATGTCGTGTTTACTTGTTTAGCTTCCGTTTTTTCTAAAACGTCCATTGCGATCAGACCCCGAAGCTGTATTTTGTCTAAGGGACGCCTTCGCGACTCTCCTGGAGGGTTCAAGTACCTGTAGAGTATGCACTTGGGCCCCTCTGGTTGCTTTAAGGCCCAGGCATATACCCCAAACCCTAAAACCCTAAACCCTAAACCCCAAACCCTAAACCCTAAACTGGCACATGGGCCCTTGGAGTCTCTTCAGGAGTATCACCGCAACCTCTGCGCGGAGATGCGCCAGTTCGTTGGCCACTACGTTGCCGGACTCACTTGGGCGGTTTAGGGTTTGGGGTTTAGGGTTTAGGGTCTAGGGTCTAGGGTTTAGGGTTTAGGGTTTGGATGCTCCCCTTATACTAACAGCCCTTAATAGGGATTATTATAAGGGGAGGTATATTAAGGACTGTTAGCATAAGCGGGAACATCCCAGCTTGTGGGTCTATAGCGGTGGAGTGGAGGCTCTAAGTAGGGAATTCGGGTCCCGAAAGAGCCCCTGAAAGGGTTCTTAGGGGATTTAGGTGTATATCTCCCAAGGACAACTCGTAGACTCGTAGTTGCTATTGCACAAGAAAGAGAAGTGAACGGACTTGAAGAAGCGACATACCCGGGGTAGTTCTCTCTCCACTTAAGGGTTCCTTTTTTGGGTTTAACCCTAAACCCTAAACCCTAAACCCTAAACCCTAAACCCTAAACCCTAAACCCTAAACCCTAAACCCTAAGCGCCCATAAGAACACGGCATCCTTCGGTGCAATCATAAGTTGCGCCTCGAAGCCAGCACTCTGAGGCTCCCCTCACACGCTGCAGCAGATGGGCAATTATTTAACAAAGGCGCAAATCCCCAACGTTTTAGGGTTTAGGGTTTAGGGTTCAGGGTTTAGGGTTTAGGGTTTAGGGTTTAGGGTTTAGTAGGCCCTTATTCCCTCGTTTTAGGGTTTTGATCCCTCACCCCCTGGGTCGAGAATTTGAAAGAGTCTACGGGTATGTACACCTTCAATCCCCACATCTCACCTAAGCGTGCGCCAAAGATGCAACAGCACCTTAAGCCCGAAACCCTAAACCCGAAACCCCAAACCCTAAACCCTAAACCCCTTAGGGCTTAAATCAAGAAGCCCCGCAGAGCTCCTCCGAGGTCTGCAACTTCCTCTTGGAAGTCTTCGGTGTCCGGGAGGCCTATGCCAAAACTCTGACGAAGCGCTATGGAGCCGAGGTGCTGAAGGGCTAAAGGACTATATCCCCTTTGAGAATTGTTGTTGTTTTTTAAAAATGTTGTTTGTATAAAATCCATATTAGTATTTTTTAAGGTTCTAAGGGGAGTATAGAGGAGGGACCCTTATTAGGGACGTAAGGTATTGTAGGGTTAAGGGTTCAGGGCTTAGCTTTTTTTTGGGAGGGGCTACTTGTGTATATCGGGACCATATGAGCTATATAGAGGGGTTGTACAAGGGAGTAAGCTTAAGGGTCCCTTCTAAGGGTCCCTCCTCACATCCCCTTAAGGTGCACGTCATGGCGGGACAAGCAGCTGAGTGGATGAAGAGCAACGCTGCAGTCATCGCACGAAGTGAGGAGGACCAGAGGCGACTGCGCGAGATCTGCAACTAGGACCCAGAGTAGCTTATTCCCTTTGTTTTTCGGGGCTTAGGTTCCCTTATAAGCCCCGTTTAACACAAAAAGGGTGCCCTTTTTTAATTCAACTGGGTCTAGGCAAATGCGTGACGGATGTCAACAGCTCCTACGTGAACCCTGGCATGCACCCCGAATCCCTCACGGAAGACAAGCTGCATGACATGGAGGGATCTTTACCGGCCGCCTTCGACCGACTGCTGCGCGTGATTCAGAGCTCCTCCAACTGGACCCCGGAGCGGGTGGATGGGGAGGTCCTCCAACAGCTGGCGCCCACCCCGGCGTCCCCGGACAAGCGAGATCGGGGTGGGTCCCCCAGCAAGAGCCCCCAGGACTGAGCAGGAATATCCCTTCTTACCCCTGTGATTCTTCAAGGCTACGGTTAGGCGGCCCATTTCAAGTCCCCTGTTTAAGAGCCCTAAACCCTAAACCCTAAACCCTAAACCCTAAACCCTAAACCCTAAACCCTAAACCCTAAACCCTAATCCCTGTTTGCGTCTCGTGTTTTAGGTTGCTGTGGGACCGAGGCCACCCTACGATGCCAGACCGCGACAGGTCTGAGTCCCCGACGAAGGGGCAGATCGTCGTTCAGCCAAGATCCTTAGGGGCGCTGGGTAATTAACCTTTAAGGGTTTAGGGTTTAGGGTTTCGGGTTTAGGGTCTTTTATTGGTTATACATCATCCTAGTACAACAAAGGTTGACCTATTTGGGCTCGGATAATTCAGCCCTTTAGGATCCGGCGCGGCCTATTCGGTGAGCTCTGCGAGCATCTACGTGGTCAACGGATCGGTACGGCCCGTCTGCGGCTTCTTTTGCCGTGGTGACTGCAGGCACATGGGAACCTGTGCCTAGGACCCAGAGTCGGCCCTTATGTCCTTTGCTTTAGGGTTTAGGGGTTCCCTTCTAATCTCCTTGAAACTCCAAGAGGGTACTCTGTTTTATTTCCTGCATGATTCCTGGGTCACCCTAAACCCTAAACCCTAAACCCCAAACCCTAAACCCTAAACCCTAAACCCTAAACCCTAAACCCTTTTTTATCCCCATAGGTTACTCCTGGGAGTCGAGGTGCAGATGCACACCCCTGCCGCTTTGGAGTCGGCTGTCGGACGCAGACCCGTGGCTGCGTGCCGCTGGGAAAGCACGGGGGTTTAGGGTTTAGGGTTTAGGGTTTAGGGTTCAGGGTTCAGGGTTTAGGGTTCAGGGTTTAGGGTTTAGCCCTTCAATATAGAGCACCAAATAGTGGGATCCCCTGATAGTAAGGACCCTAAGAAGGTACCCCTAATTTCGGAAACCCCCCACATTTGCTGCTGCAAAGGCGACGTTGCTTTGTTGTCAGGCGATAATGGTTGTTGAAGAGAGTCCCTGGTCCAACCCAAAGCCTTAAAACTCTAAACACTAAACCCTAAACCCAAACACCCTAGCCACAGCCCAGGTTCGACCACCCGCACGACCCGAAGAAGCCCATCTGCAGGTTTTTCGTGGAGGGGCGATGCCACATGGGCCTTCGCTGCCGCTTTGCCCACCCCGCCGGGAGGTCCTCATAGGACCCTCTTAGGGGGTCCGAAGCCGGCGGAGAAAGAAGAGCAAAATGGGACGCTGGAACCCTAAACCCCAATTCCTAAACCCTAAACACTAAACCCTTCCTTCGTATAAGGATCAAGCAAGGCAGCTTGGGGTTCCGGGCTGGGGAAGTACTTTGCTTGAGATGCGAGGCATAGTGGCTCCGTCTGCGACTTGGTGTTGGAGGGTTGGGAGCAAACAATCCGGGAACAAAAATAAGGTCGAAATACATTGAAACAGTATTCCCTTATGGCCCCTATAGAAGCATACTATAAAAACCTCCAAAAAACCCTGTTCTTATCACTTAAACCCCTATACTACTCGGCTTACATCTTCGAAGAAAAAATCAACGGAGTAAACTTAGGGGTACTTGTTTTAATTTTTGGCTACTACAATCCCTAAGGAACAGCTAAAATTGTAGTTTCTGCTAGGTTGCCAAGTATACTAAAGGGGGGACGATGTCCACTCTGCTTGCCTCCTCAAAAACTTACGAAGTCGACGGCAAAGTGCAAGGGTGACATCCACCATCAGCTCTTTGCTCCGGGGTTTAGGGTTTAGGGTTTAGGGTTTAGGGTTTAGGGTTCAGGGTTCAGGGTTCAGGGTTCAGGGTTTAGGGTTAGGGTACCGCACTCTGCCATGTACAGCAAACCGTAAACCCGGGTGAATCCCTAAACCTCCTGGCGCTGCAGCCCTAGATCTCCCTAAATACGATAAAACCTTCAAGACCTGAAAGGTGTGTTGTTCTCGGAACTTTTAGAGCTTTGGGGTGTATGAAGGGGTTTAGGGTTTAGGGTTTAGGGTTTAGGTTTTAGGTTTAGTGTACTTTCGGTTTGTCATACACTACCAATTCGAGTTCCTTTTTGTGTTGTGGTCAGGAAGGGCCTTTGCAGCCGAGGCGAAGAGTAGGCTTACAAAACCCTAAACCCTTTTCTTTTCAGTGCGGAGACTCCCATTCCACCTGTTCAGGGATCATTGTTCAGGGTTCAGAGTCCCAATGTCCCAAAAGGGTTTGGGGGCCTAGGGTTCAGGGTTTGCCCTTCTTATTCCTGGGTTTTCCTGAGACCTAGTTGCACAGTGAGATGATCCCACGTTGCCGGTGCAAGTATTTCTGGCGCCTGCGAAGTCTTGGGATGTCTTTGCTGGGACCCCTCGACCTAAACTCTCGGGTTTAGGGTTTAGGGTTTAGGGTTTAGGGTTTAGGGTTTAGGGTTTAGGGTTTAGGGTTTAGGGTTTAGGGTTTAGGGTTTAGGGTTTAGGGTTTAGGGTTTAGGGCCCGAAACCATGGGAGTACTTGTCTTCCTCCTTTGTTCAGACTGATCTTCCCTGATAGAGTTCTCTTTCCTGTCGTCTTAACCGCGTAACCTAGGGATGTTACCTCACCACATCAGGGAAGACCAAGTCTTCGTCGGTGACGGCTTCAAGCCAGCCATGGCGACCAACGAGGCAGGGTCGTTAGGGTTGACAGATGCCTAACTGGGATGCCCAGTAGTACCCTTATTCCCTTTTTGGTAGGTTTAGGTTCCCTTATAAACCCCTTTAAGCAAAAAAGGGCACCCTTTTTCATCCTAGCTTACTGGGCAACCTAGCTACGAACCCTTGACTGTACTGGGGCTTGGTTCAGGGGTGCGGGGCATGTTCATAGTCTGGCTCGTTCTTGGTAGGGAGTGAGGGAATAGCGTGCCCATAATCCCCCGTATACATACCCTTTAAGGGATTCTACAGGCTACCTCATTCCCCCATTCCCTACCAAGAACCAAAAGGTAGTTTGTTCGTTTGGGTGATGTTCGGTGTTCGGCTGGAGGCTTGGTTCTCTCAGTGAGAGGTGTCGCATGAGGGGTGAATATCGGGGTCGGAATAATTATTAGTAGTATTCCCTGATGGTCCCTTTGCAATTGTACTCCAATAACCCTAAACCATAAACCCTAAAATACCCCCCCCCCCAAAAAAAAAAAAAAAAAAACTATTCCCTATTCGGATTCTTGAGGCCCCTATATTAGGGTGTCTGCATGCCCCCAAAACCCTAAAATAGCCTGTGTTTCGTGGCATCGTTCTGGCTTCGGAAGGGTTCGGTGCCCTTCGGCGCCGAGGATCACCCTGACGTTACTTCTTCGGTTTAGGTTACCCTAAACCCCAAACCCTAAACCCCAAACCCCAGACCCTAAACCTTGAACCCCTAACCCAAAACCCCACACCCCAAACCCTATAAACCCTAAACCCTAAACCCATGAAGTTCAGGACCTTAGACAGCATGGCACGGTTCAGCTTCCGTGAGCTCCTAGAGGAAGAGCGCGACTGTGGCTTCTTAGTCCTTAACATCCACGTTCTTTGGGTTTAGGGTTTAGGGTTTAATTAGGGTTTAGGGGTAACCTTGAGGGGCATGCTTGCGTACTTGCGCCAGCAGGCGCCAGCAGAGTCTTGACGGAATGTGGCCCAGCTTCTGTAAGCTGAACCGATCCCTGCACCACGCCTCTTAGGCAAAACCTCGCAAGGTCCCTAAACTCTAGACCCTGAACCCTAAACCCTAAACCCTAAACCCTAAACCCTAAACCCTAAACCCTAAACCCTAAACCCTAAGCCCTAAGCCCTAAGCCCTAAACCCTAAACCCTAAACCCTAAACCCTAAACCCTAGCCTATGCCCTTAAGGAGGACATGTTTCCCATAAGAACCCTGCAAACCGTACAACTCCGAAGCCCAAATCCTAGAAAGCCCTAAGGCCTGCAAGGCCCAAGCCGTGTTGAAAAGCAAAACGCAGGTAGCAGCCGCAACTGAGTTGACTGAAAGGTGGGACGGCCACTCATTCTGCTCCCCCCATCCAAGGATGACCCCCCCCCAAAAAAAAAAAACACAGAGAGGGAAACAGACTCAACCCTAATAGCCCTAATCCCTTAAATGCTGAACCCTGTCAATAATACTAGCGTAGTACTGAGAAGGGAGCATATACAAGCCCCAAAGTGCCTACCACTTGAGTCCTAGTGACCCTGGGTTTGACCAAGACAATGCATACCCCCGGCGAAAGTACAGACAGTATATTATGTCTTGGTAAACCCGAAGATTTGATATCATTTTTCATGTTCCTGAAAAAGAGGTTGCATCGGCATGCTGTGAAGGTTTTCGTGTCTTGCTGCGAAGTTTTGGGGGCTAGGGCTTTCGGCTGTAGGGGCGATTAGGGTTCAGGGATCTAGGTTTTCGATGTGTTTGGTCTGCCCTAATAAGCCCTAAACCCTAAACCCTAAACCCTAAACCCTGTTCAGGTTTGTACTGTGCATTTCTGCTTGCGTGCGGGCCTGGGCTCACCGCAAGCAGTTGGCAAAGCATCCAGGGCCTGACTTCGGGTTAGAGTTTGTGGTTTAGGGTTTAGGGTTTAGGGTTTAGGGTTTAGGGTTTAGGGTTTAGGGTTTAGGGTTTAGGGTTTAGGGTAACCAGGATGGGCTATTCTTGTCATGAAGCCTAACAACCCATCTTGGAAATCGGAGTCCCTTTTTTGTTTGGGGGGGGGGGGGTGCTATATTTTGTCCGGCACCCTTATCGTAAGGACCCCAAAACAAGGGTTCTGAATGTAGAGGACCCCAAACCCTAAACCCTAAACCCTAAACCCCAAATCCTGCAACCGCAAAAACATGGCCGGCAGCCCCACACCGCAAAATCAAGGGTGCATCAGCAAGTGTTGTGCATGTGTTTTGGGGGCCCAAGGTACACCTTCAACACCAGGCCCTACACCCCAAACCCTAAACCCTAAACCCTAAACCCTAAACCCTAAACCCTAAACCCTAAACCCTAAACCCCCCTAAGGCGCGTTTGTTTTGTGACCTTGCTGGAACAGCTGGCCAGGCAGAGACGGCAGCTGTTGGCCAGCTGTAGCTGCACTGGTGGGAGGTGAGTGCATCGAGGCAAAAACAGCACGCAGTGAGAGTCCCCAAAGCATGGGTTGGGGGTTTAGGGTTTAGGGTTTAGGGTTTAGGGTTTAGGGTTTAGGCCTTCGGGTTTAGGGGTTTGGGGTCGGAATAATTGCGAATCGTATTCCCTTATGGTTCCCCATACAGATATACTGTAATAACCCCCCCCCCCCCCAAAACCCTATTCTAGTTATTCAGCCCCCCCTTTAGTATGTGGGTTTGGTCGTTCTCAAACGGGGGGGGGGGGGGGTCCCCCGTTTATACCCCGGATAGAATAGTATATAAGTGCACGAAGGGGGTGGTTTCCGAACACAGGGGTATTTCTTGAGGTCCCGTAAGAAGGATTCTAACTATGGATATATTCATATACCTTCTACATTTATGTATCAAAGTGCACGAAGGGGGTGGTTTCCGAACACAGGGGTACCGTAAGAAGGATTCTAACTATAGATATATTCATATGCGTTCTACATTTATGTACCAAAGTGCATTCTACATGTTGTTTCTAGTGTATTCGCTCGCTCTCTTCCTCTCTATGATATGTGGAGTTATACACAATCTCTATATATATATATATATTTATATTTTTATTTATTTATTTATTTATCCTAGCCAACCTTGCAGCACACCATGCAAGCGGTAGGTTTAGGGTTGAGGGTTTAGGGTTTAGGCTTTAGGCTTTCGGGCCCTTTTCTCAGGTTCCTCAAGCCCTAAACCCTAAACCCTAACCCCTAATCACTCAGAACCAGGGGCTTCTGCCCATGTGGGGTTTGTAGCTTTCGAGCTGGTTACTTGTTGTTTTAGTGGTAGGGGCTTGTAGAGAAGATAGGGCTGTGTAGGGTGCTTTGGGTTTAGGGTTTAGGGTTTAGGGTTTAGAGGGTTTAGGGCCCTAAACCCTCTAAACCTTACAAACACCTGAACAAAAAACCCAAAGGCCCCCTAAACCGAGAAACAACAACGACGAGAACGTGGGGAGATCGGACACCGTGAACTAAACCCTAAACACTAAACCCTAAACTGTAAACCCTAAACCCTAAACCCTAAACCCTAAACCCTAAGGGTCCGTGTACCTTATTATTATGCTAAAGTC